GTAACAAAAGAGTTGTGTACTCATTGTCTGTGTAACCTTTCTATCAAATGGGGAGGAAAAGAGGCACGTGTTTTGTGTGCAGATGATTACTGATGAAAGAGCACCTCACGTTCATTTTGTCCCAGTGCGTTGACCCGGACCACAAAACACAATTGAGCTTCTTAGCACACAAGCTCAGTACAATGGGCTTCTTTAGTATCATGTTCTGTTTCAACAATTAGATTTGTTTCTGTGAAGTATGACAGTTTTTCATGCTCATGATTTTGCAAAACATAACCTTTCATTTGTTCCAACATAGGGTTTCCATCCAGAAAGGGGAGAAAGGGGACATTTAAAGACAATCATTGCAAGTGTAAATGGTGCAGCGTAAATAACACTCTTAGAAGAGCCACATTTTCAGACTCTATCCTTGTATACACATTCTTAGAGTTTCTCTTCAAACAATCGGTTTGAAAACATTTTTCTCAGCCAAAGCAACTCATTTTCTCTGGTTCGTTTCAAATCCCTCTGTATTTTCTAGGTTCCACTTAAAACGGTCTTTTCTGTAGTGTGTAATGTTTCTACAGCCATTTAAGAATGGAAATTTGTTGATGCTTGAAGTTACAGTTTTTTGGGGAGGACTAAAATAATTTAATTCTCCCAGTTTTACCTACCCCATCATCTTACAGCAGTTGTTAAAATATTTCATTATGTGGAAACACTGACATTTCTTAATCCTATATCTCCACAATGACTAAATCATGATTAAAAACTGGATTTTTAAAGATAGGTGTTAAATTCTTTCAGGCCATCAGGGTACCAACTAGTAAATCACAAAACAACTTTGTGCCTGGAAATAACTTAAGCCTTGGGGAGAGAAGAATCCCCTGAGATCCATCAGCAGGAAACACATGCACAACAACAGAGCTATGTCATGGTGACAGCAAGCAAAGACCAGTGACACATGCTTTTTTATTGAACTCTTACTCTGTGCCAGTTACATAGTTCTATACATTTACATATATTAATTCACTTAATCCTCTCAACAGCACTGTGAGGTAGGAATTATTGTTATCCCCATTTATTGATGAGGAAACTAAATAACTTGCTCACATTCACATTGGTGGCACCAGGAATTGAGTGCAGGCAGTCTAATTCTATGCTGTACCATATTATTATCAAGAGAAAAAGAGCACCGCAAATATTACACATGACTGAAGAAGGTCTGTAGCCATGACTGTAGTCAGTAGGCCATTATCAGCTATGCTGGTTAAATACGATGACCAGTCTGAGTGCCCCAGTTTTCTTAGTATAACTGCAGAGATGGAAATCAGGTAATTCATTCCCTTAAATCATTAAAGACTACCTATTAAAAAAACTAGTGGGCTTCTTTTGTGAGTCCATCATAGAATCATAGAACAATGGAGTTGAAATGGCCTTTGAGTTATCATCTAGTCATTGAATCTGGAGGTAAGAGGTTAACATATTTTCAGTGATAACAAGGTTATGTCCTCCCATTTTAAATACCCATAACATCCTGTATTCTTTATGCATCAAACTCATTAGTTAATTAGTACAGTTGGTGCATAAAGCCCATCGTCCTCAGTAGAGGGTAAGATCCATCAGCCTGCCTCTGTTTTGCTCGCTGCTATATCTTCTGTGCCTCATTTCCTGCCTGTACATAGGGAGGTGCTCAATACCTATCTGTTGACTGGCTGGCTGACTGCTCAGTTCATTTACTCACGTAAGGCACATGCTGCAGCACGCTTGCTTCACCACCACCTCGGGAATAGCAGCATGACGCAATGCAACCTAACGGACAGCAGCCAGTTCCACAGCAGACTGCCAGGGGCTGTGTCCTGGCTCCACCACTGGTTAGCTTTGTGACCTCAGGAGACTCACACAAGCACTCTAAGCCCAGTTTCCACATCTATTAAATGGGGATAATAACAGTACTTCTCTCAGAGTTGTTTTAAGGAAAAAACAAGATTCACTACAAACGTTCCCTAGATCGGCACACGATAGTGTGTACTGTTTTTCCAGGTGTTTCCCCTCAATGGAGTGGCAGAACAGTGATCCCCAGTGTTGTCACCTTTGACAGGGGGCAAGCCTTGCTCTAAACAGTGAGCAGCAGAAGACTACCTCTTCTAAATTTCTCAAAAAATACTTTATACCCTCTGTAGATAATCCCTTCTAGAAACTCATCACTTTGGCTGTCCAGAAGTATTTAAGTAATTACTAAACTCTTTGCTCTCTGATTAAACTCTCAGGTTAGTTTAGTTAAGCCCAACCTCCTTCACAGAGTTTACAAAGCCCTTTAAGATCTGACCTCTGCTTAACCTTGAGCTCTACTCCTCAGCCTTCCCTCCTCTCACCCTCCACTTTATCCGGACAGAATTTGTTCTTTGCAAGCACTGCATTCTCTCTCCCCTCCATTCCTTTCTACTAGCTGCTCCCTCGGCCTGGTGTGCACTTCCTGCCCATCTTAGCCTTAGGTCTCAGCCATCTCTTCCTCCAGGAAGCTTTCCTGACCTCCCACAATAGGCTCAGGTGTCCCTCCTGAGTCCCAGTGGCCTTGTGGTCCTCATAAGAAAATGCATCAATCCAAATTGTAAATTGCTTGTTTCCTCATCTGTATCCCCCACGAGGCTGTGAGTCCAATGCCATGCCACTTAACACTGTGTCCCTCTAGCTTAGTAAGTGCTCAATAAATAAATATCTGTCAAATCAATGAGTGAACGAATGTACAAGGAAAGTTAAGTTCGATTTTTCCTTTCAGTATAGTATGGATATGGGAAAAATGGCACCTTTCTTTATTAAAAAAATATATTTACTTGCAGATAATAATTGAGCCTTCTTCCCCACCTCAATAACCACAGTTGAACGTTATGTTTAACTTAGTACAAGATAAGCACCAAAAACATTCGCTAATTTGGTCCAGTGCAAGAAGCTTCTGCATGTTTCGATTCTAATTTATTACTATTGATTTTTAAAAATAAATATCTAGTTCTTGCTCTGACAGCACATATACTAAAATTGGAACGATACAGAGAAGGTTAGCATGGCCCCTGCTCAAGGATGGCACGCAAATTCTTGAAATGTTCCATATTAAAAATAAAAATAAGTAAAAATAAATATATAATGCTGTATTTGTGTTGACTAGAGTATTTTTAGAGACACAGTTATTTACTTAAGAAGCACTTATTAACAATTACATCCATAGCATAGTGCAGTGTGCTAGGGCAGAGTTAGGGAAGGATGGTTAACTCACCACCCCTGCCGCCCAGCAGTTTATCTAGGTGAGCAGACATGATCACTGTGATGAAAGGTTAGACCATCACAAGTACAGAGCACTTCAGGATACGCTGTCTCATGTTGATCCTTATGCAGTCCTGAGAAATAAACAAAACAAATATAATTTATCCCTATTTACAGATGAGAGAAACTGTCTCAGAGGTGACATGATTTGCCAACTGATGCATATTAGGTAGTGACAGACCCAGAGCTTGAGCCTAGGTCTGTCCAGTCCTATGTCCAGATTGTGCCCAGATCGTCCCATGTGCATGCCCCATGACTCTTAAGAGCCAAATGAAAGGCAGGGCCAAGAAATACTGTGAGTTTATATAACAAGACATCACCCAGGAGAAAGCTGCTTATCAAAGCCCCAGAGGCAAGTAACCCTGAGGTGCTCAGGGAGTGGTGAGATGTACAGTCTGACATCCCACTTCCTGACAAATATGGACCCTCCCCATTCAGGCATTTTGCTGGAGGAGATCATTTCTCTTGTTGGAAAAGGAAGAGCAGCCTGTTTCAAGAAGTTTCCCATCTTCATTATGTGAACTAAAAAATTTGAAATGACAATTTAGCAAGGCATGGGAGTTTTGGCTTTTTGCTGCAGTTTTTGCTTTACATCAAATCAAAGAAATCCAGGTTCACATTAAGAGTAAATTAGCATCAGGGGGACCATTAGTTTGTTTACCCAGCATAAAATTATGTCCTCTTTAAACGGGAATATCAAATAGCATAAAAAGCCTAGGTGATTTACATTTTCTTTTTGATTAGAGGATTGCATCTACTGTACTCAAGGAAGGAAAATCTCTCCCATTTAGCTTCTGAAGATCAAAGAGGCCATTAAATATGCCATATTACTAGCATTTTTTTCTTTGTGGTTAAGACCAGGGGTTGCTTTACAAATTGAGATCGTCATGGGGAAAAGGGAGGACTTTATTTATTTGGGGTCAGATGCACTAGTTCACTTCCCTCAGGCAGGACCATATGTTTAACCTTTTACTCAAGTAGGGCCGTCCTACAGCTTCAAGTGCGCGCTGACCTGTGTGCAGAGTTTTGTAAGCATAGACCTGATGACCAGACTATGAACCTTTCTGTGAGTCACGGTATGATTCTAAGCCTTGGTATCTTTCTGTAATAAATTTGATAAAATCTGCAAAGACAAAATGAAGTGAAAAGCGAAGTCACTGAAAAGAAGGATGAACCTATGTAGGTATTCAGTTGGGATAAAACCTTACTTTCCCCACAAAAGGAGCAGACTGAGGCAAATGTCTAGACAGCAGTTCCTGTTTCCCTTCCCAGACATATAGCCAAATATGCATATTACCAGCTAAAGTGTGAAATACAATTTTATCTTCACCAGCTAAAATACTGAATCATTGTGGGTGTGCATAATTGCATTCTTTGAACCACAGTGATTCATTGGCTTAACATTATTTTTTAACGACAACTTTTAACGACATTTGTTTTTCAGTTGTTTTCTGGAATTTAGAATTTCACTGTCTCCCAGTTTTATTCCATATTTCAATGAACTTGGATAACTAAGACCTTTTTGCCCTTATGTGTCATATGTGGATCTCATTTTAGCCTGAAATACATCTTTAACAAATAGATAGTAAAAGGGGAATTATAGGAGAAATTTTGAGATTGATTTCAGATAAAATTATCGACTGAATATAATGAGTGAATTCATTTTGATTGAGGACTTGCCATTTCTTTTTTGCTTTGGGCAGCCAACAACCAATAGAAGACAAATATTCAGACCTCCGATATGACCCAAACTGGAAAAATAAGAGAGAGGAAGGGCAGTTGTTGACTGTGGACGCGTTGCCGGAGTCTGCAGACAGCTCTCCAGAACGTCTGCCTTTGGATCCACTCTACCCTTCCAAGGAGGGTTTGGTGGAACTCTCAGAGGGAAAAGGCAAACAGAAAAAGAGCTCACAGAGTGGCGCCTCCTTACTGGGTAGTGAATTTGTAAGCCCAGACTATGAGCATGCAGCCCATCGCAGTGAGCCATTTTCAGAGCTGAGTGACAATGACCTGGAGGAGAAATCGAGTAACTTCTCTCAGTACGTGAAGAGTTCAAGTTCACATAACGAGGTTTTCCTGCCAGGATCACGTGGCCCTCGGCGAAGGAAGTCCAAACAATATTTTGTGGAAAAAAACAAACTGACTTTGGGATTACCCACCCCTAAAACAAACTCTTATCTTCAACTTCACCAACAAAGAGGGGAAACTCACCTAGAACAGGTACGTAGTGGCTACTTAAACGTCTCTTCTGAAACACTCAACTGGAATTTGGCTTTGTTTGAAATGGCCTCATATCCCTTCCTTTGGGATGATGATGTCATTGTAACCACCTGTCTGGGTAAAACAAACGCTTCCATGCTATACCCTATATGTTGCCCCTTCATGTAGGACAAGGGGAATTTTTGCACAAATTCTTAGGAACAAAATAAAAGCCATCAATGGTTTACAGGGTTGTAATTACTATAATTATTAAATCCAAAATGTCCTCATTCCAGGAACCATAGAATGTTTAAAAACTGTATTCCAATAGATAAAATACAGGATTGAGCATTTCTTTCCTGTGTGGATTGCTTATGTTTCCACAACAGCATTGGTTTCCAACCCTATTAAATTCCCCAACACAGTGGAGGTGACATGACACACTTATATCAATAACTGCAGCTCACATACATAGCGATTCTCAACTCAGATTCTGTGTGCATATTGGGTGGTCTTGGGAGGGAAGTAGGGTATAACATGTTTTTTGGTTTTTGCTTTTAATTCTTCAGATGATTCTATTACCTTTTCAACCACCATTGATAATCACTACACCGTCCTTTATTGTTCTGTGCAAATGACATATGATTAAGTCTTGGTCTCTCCATCTATAAAATTAGAAAAATAATGTGTCCTCTCTTCTTCATCTGATCATTCTAAGGACAAATTCTTCCCAAATGATGGACTCAAACTGGTTGGAGCCAGTAAACTTAGCTCTATTTCATGGGCACACAGAAAGATTTTATCAGCCCACCCCCTACTGGATAAGACCATGGACACAAGAAAAATGTGTGGCTAGATCAGTATAGCCCACCACCCTGTGGAAAAACAGCTTGAAATTTATCACCTGCTAATGTGGGATCATTTCAAATATGAAGGAGAGGTTATTATGTTAAGTGTGGATGCCCTTAGACCTCTTCCAAATCCCAATTGGTATTATTTAAAGTGCTCTAACCTGTTCTAACTTCTATATATTTTCTGATGGAAGAAGATCAATGAGGTGGATGAACATTTGTGATTTTTCTTGATTTAGAAATTCCCTTGATAGTCTTAAAGGATTATGTCACATCTTTGCCTTTGTAATTAATAAGAAAATGAAGGAATAGGTGTGGTATATTTAGCTGAATTAGCAAAACAAAAACTTAGGTGAATTCAAGCTGTTTTCAACACTTTAACCCAATTTTAAATGTGAATGTACCTTTTTGTTTCATAAAACTCATATGTAATTTTGAATTTTGTTTGGTTGCTCATTTTAAAAATAAGTAAATTCAACATTGCAATATCTGTAAAAAATATTCATAGGGAGTAATTCTTCCCAGTCCAGGACAATGTTTTTTCATTACTTTTACAAGTGTTCTCAAAAGGAGCTGATTTAAAGGAGAGGCAAATAATAAGCCAAAAGAAATAGTTATATTTCTAATAATAAAAGAGAAAAAGATTTGTTATAAACTCTTTAATTGCTGATTTCTTAATTGCTAATTTTTTTAGTAGTTACAAGTTAATTTACTAAACAATATTGGGGTGAGTTGATTGTCAGTTATTCTGTAGCCTAATTTCCTCGATGGAGGAAAGTTGAAATCATTTTAGGTTTGCTTCGTCTTTAAGCTCTTGAATTACTCTTCGAAGGGCCACTAACCTTTTCCACCACTTTCTCCAGGTTCAAATCTCTAAGGGCTGCTGGCTAATTGTATTCAAAATTGTCTCTTCGTTTTTCCAACATATATTTTCTTCCTCTTACTCATATTCTTTTTTTTACCCATGAACTTTTCTATTCTTTTAAAAAGGATAGAAATGAATTTAACCTAACAGTGATGTAATGATATGTGTAACATGTTTTATTGAATTATAGTCGGCATAAAATGATGTGTTCCTTTTGAATCATTATTTATATACAAATGTGTGCAGGTCTCTTTTGCGAATACAGATTATATGTTCCCTGTGGGCAGGAACTGTGATTTGTACTTATTTTGAATCTTCATAGTAACTAGCCTAACACACTCTAAGAGCTCAGAAAACATATGGGAAATGAAAAATGTATCTCTTCCATCACTTCCAAACTGTATTCTCTTTAGCATGATTTGAAGTTTATGTGGGAGAAATGGTATTTCTATGTTTGCAGTCCTGGCTGGATATTAGAATCACTTGAGAAGCTAATAAAAAAAAAGTGATTCATGGCTCCATCCAGACTGGTTTAAATCTCTAAGTGGGATTCTGAGCATCAATATATATATATTTTTAAAGCTCCTCAGGCAATTCTAATGTGAAGCCAGGTTTGAGAACCGTTGTTCCAGACAAGACCACTGGTTCTCAGCCTTGGCTTCACATTGGAATCATCTGGAGAATTTTTAAAATGCTTATTCCTTGGCTGAACCACTGAAATTTTGATTCAGTTCATCTGGGCTGAATGCTAAGATGGGGAGTTTTCCACACTCCCCAGCTGATTCTAATGTTTAGCCAAGGCTGAGAACCAGACTCCAAACATTAGTGTGCAATCAGAATCCTCTGGAGAGCTTGTTAAAACAGATTGCTGGACCTAGCCCCCCAAATTTCTGATTCAGTAGGTGTAGGGTGGGACCCAAGAGTATGAATTTTCTACGTTGTTCCAGGTAATGCTACTGCTGCTGTAAGGCCCACACTTTGAGAACTGGCCTTTTTCTTCTCAAACTTTAAAGTACTTATGCACTACCTCATGATCCTGTGAGACTCAGTGTGCATTTCTAACAAGCTCCCTGGCGATGCAAGGCTGCAGTCCATGGACACACTTTGATTAGCAAGGGGCTAGAATAAAGAATATAAAGGTTTTATCAGAAATCTAAAAGCATAAGTCATGTAAGTCAGTATCCACAAAACATTGATATTTTCAGTGGCTGATAGGATTATTCAACCGATTTGTGGGTCGGAGATGAGAAAGTGGTGGTGGCAGGTTTGGAGGCTATTGTTTTAAATTGAGCAGCATTTATCTGGAAGTTTTTAACATTTGAATGTTTTCCACTTGTTATTACTTTGAAAGAGATGACAAATGTCTTTTAACTAGGAACACTGAAAGGTTCAATGATATCTATTGTTGAGTGAATAAATAAGTGTCAATTACCATTAGGCAGCTGGGAATACATAATTTTGTTGCAAACATCCGTGGCTAGCTGAATCAGACAGGGTCTTAAGACAGAGTATTTTATTTGGGAAGACTTGAAAGTCTAAGTTTACAATATCCCAATGAATATGTCTGTGTTTTTTTTTTTTTTAATAAAAGTTGAAAAGCTGATTAAGTTCAATTGAAAAATAGACAAGGATTGGGCCGGCCCGGTGGCGCACTGCTACAGTGCGCCGCTTGGGAGCACGGCGGCGCTCCCGCCGAGGGTTCATATCCCACATACAGACCGGCCGCTCACTGGCTGAGCGAGGTGCGGGCGCAATGCCGAGGGTTGCGATCCCATTGCCAGTCCCGGTCTGGTACAGGCGCGACACTGAGGGTTGCGATCCTGTTGCCGGTCCCGGTCTGGTACGGGCGCGACACTGAGGGTTGCGATCCGTTGCCGGTCACGAAAAAAGACAAAAAGGAAAAAAAAAAAAAAGAAAAATGGACAAGGATAATAAAGAAAACTCCAGAAATTAAAAGTAATGAGAAGGATCTAGCGCTACTTGATAATATAGTATATTATAAAGCTTCAGTAATTAAATAATATGGTAATATTTAATACATATACAGACAGAAAAAATGGAACAGAACAGAATAGAAAGTCTAGAAATAGAACCAAATTACATAGGAGAATATATTACCTCTAATTTGATAAATGCCACATCTCAAATCATTGAGAAAATTATAGGCTATTCAATAAAACCATTGGGTAGCTACCAGGGAAAAAAATTAAGTTGGATCCATACCTCATATCATACAACAAGATAAATTCCAAATGTTGAAATATTTAATTAAACCATAAAAATACTAGAAAAACATGGGAAAATTTTCCCATAACCTTGAAATGTTTCAAAATCCAGAATCTATAAAAGATTGATGAATTTGACTTCATAAATATCAAGCAGGAAAAAAAAAATAAGCAAAGTCAAAATATAAAACAACCTAGGAAAAATATTCCTAGTTCATATCACAGACACATCACTAATATCTCTCATATATAAAGAGCTCCTAGAAGTCAATAAGAAAAAGACCAAAATCCTAATAGAAAAATACACAAAGGATATGAATAGACAATTCACAGAAAAGTTAATACATATGGCTATTAAACATATAAGAAGATACCCAACCTCAGTTATTGTAAGAGAAATGCTGTATATTAATACTGTATTGAGATTCCATTTTTCACCTATAATTAAACTATCAAAATTCCAAAAGTTTGATGAACATGTGGGCAAAAAGAGTACAGTCAAGCTGGCAAGAGAATAAATTCGCATAACTGGTATGGGAGGCAATTTGTTAATATCTATTTAAAGTACAAATACACTTCTTGAGAAAGTAGAACAGAATGGCCAAGATATAGACTTTGAGCCAGGTTGATTGCCACTGCCACCTGCTAGCTGTCTGACCTCGCACAGGTTACTGAACCTCTCTGTGCCTCAGTTTCCTTACCTTTACCTTCGTGTGTGTGTGTGTGTGTGTGTTCGGCTCTTTTGGCAGCTGGCCAGTACAGGGATCCAAACCCTTTACCTTAGTGTTATAACACTGTCCAATAACCAACTGAGCTAACCGGCCAGCCTCCTTATCTTGAAAATGGGGATAGTAATAGTACTGTCCACATGGGATTATTAGGAACATTAAATAAATGAGTTAATATATGTAGAGTACTTAGGTCAGTGCCAGGCTCATAGCATGCACTTTATAAGCATTCACAATTATTATTTTTATTTGTTCCAACACATTATACTCCTAGGAATTTATTCTATTTATATATGTGTGCAGGTTTTTTTTTGTTTGTTTGTTTAGTTTTTTTTTGTCTTTTTCGTGACAA